AAGTGTCTTAGATGCAACGTGTTTGTGGAGTTAAATGTAGAACGACAGTCGTTAACAATTCATTGCCTTAATGCATACTACAAGAAGATTCGTGGTAGGAAACGGATAAGAAAGACTTGCAATTTTAAAACAAGCGCTTTACATAATACCTGGTTTTCACGAGCATCTTTGGATATAACGAAAGTGTGTCGTCTAATTTGTTATTTTTTATTATTGAACTCCCCCCGACAGTTATTTATACAGGGAGAATTGTCGATTACGGCACACACAGCAGTCGATTGGAGTAACTTTTGTCGCAAAGTATGCATAATTTATTTCTTGCAATGATAATTTAATAGTTTCAATACTATTAATTAATACAAATTCTCTTATTGTACTGTGTTCTTCTATAGCTTCTCCTACAATGGCTTTCCAACAATGACAAACAACGACGAAAAATTGGTGGTGATAACATAATTGTGGAAATTGATGAAGCCAAATTTGGCAAAAGGAAGTACCATCGCGGACGACTTGTTAGTGGCCGTTAGTGGTTATTTGGCGGTATTGAACGGCGTATAGGGAAATTATTTGTTGTTCCTGTTAAACAACGCTTATCTGACATACTTATACCGATCATACTTCGTCGTATTGCACCAGGTTCTATTATCCATAGCGACTGCTGGAGAGCGTATAATGAACTCAAAAATTATACATACACGCATCGAGTTGTGAATCACAGCGTAAATTTTGTAGATCCTGTTACAGGTATTCACACACAAAATATTGAACGTTTGTGGCGTGATATTCGCAGTGGTATACCGAGAAATGGAACTCGATCATATCACTATATAAACTATCTGACTGAATTCATATTCAAACGACAGTATGAATACGGACAGCGTATTAACAAATTTTTCGAAATTATGGCTACGTTATATCCTCTTTCTCATAATGTAGAAGTAAGTGAGAGCGAATAAATAAATATATATATATATATATATATATATATATATATATATATATATATATAATTCTAATAAATTTGTGTATAATTTCTTTATGAAAAAAACGAAGAACATATAAGACAAGTATATATATGCACGGGGGAGGGGCTTCGCCCCTCCCCCGCACCTCCTCCCCAATTTAATCTAACCTAACCCAACCTATAAATCATTATGAGTGATAAAGTTTAATGAGGATAATATGTATATATGCAAACCCCAAACTTTATTATTCACAGTGAATTGTATGTTGGGTTAGGTTAGAATCAATTGGAGAAGGGGTGCGGGGGGAGCGGCCGAGCCCCTCCCCCGCGCGCACACATGTACTGTTATACGTATGAACATAGATTGTCCAAAAATCATATATAACTCACTTTTAATCGAGCATCACGTCAAAAATCAGCAACGTATTTATGAAACTTTTTTTGTTAATAACCTTTTCATAAACAATGAGCGACGCATAAAAACTTTTGATTGTTACTCAGGGGGGTGACCTCTACAACATATGTCAAGCTCAAGGTCATTGCAGCTTGCTCCCCTAAAATGCA